ATCAGATGGTTATTTACAAGTTGGTCCTTAAATCGGGTTCCTTAATATGTTACTTGCAGTGGCTGGCAGCATAGCATCTTAGGATGGTCTAAGTGCAACTGCATCTTCAGAGCATGTTTTGAAAAGGGCCAAAAAAAGAAAACAAACAAAAAAACCCCTTCATTTCTGTAACGTCAAGGGAGCTGTTTGGATCCTTCCATCTAGTCTAAGCATTCAGCATAAATAAAAAACCCCAAAATCAAGACCAGCAGCTTTTAGACCTCATGGTGCCGGTTGTTGTTGTGGGCTGAAAGCAGCACGAGGGCTGTTGAAGAGCAGCCGTGACGAGGTTCAAAAGTTGCCAAGTTGTCCTTTGCGCTTCCCAGGGACGGGGCACGGGGTTGAGATGGCTGGAAGCTTAGCGAGTTAAAATTATACCCGCCGGCTGAAAGCGTACGCTTGCTTCCAGCTCCCGTTTCAGGCAGGACTCGGTCAAGAAGCTTTTGCTTGGGAGTTTCTTCAGGGAAAGGCCTTTGGTGATCTAAATGTTTCTTAACCTAAACCACGCTGCTGGAAAGCAGCTTCTCAAAAGAGAAGAGAGGTTGGAAGGGAGCACAATCCTAATTTTTAAGCTATGAACAGGCCGGAGGGAGCGGAGTTGCAGTGGGCTGCTCGCGCGCGGATGCATGAAGGGATCAGACTTTGTCGGGCACTTGCATGAACTTCTTCTCAGAGTGCTAATGCGCATTGGGAGGAATCAAAACACCTTTTAATCTGTGCCCCCCACGCAGGCTCGCTCCCCAGCATTGCCTGATGATGCTGCCCTGTGTGTGCTGCTCTAGGGACCCGAACTGGCTGCCGCTGTGAAGTTTTGGGGGAGGAAAAGGGTGGCATGCAGGTCTGGGTTAGGTCCCAGTGCCACAGGCAGGGCTCAGGGACTGAAGGGGTCTTGTGTTTTGACTTCTGCATGTGCCAGAGGAAGCAAAACTGGGAAGTGTCTTGAACTGCTTTGCATGAAAACTACAGCCTCTCTTTTTTTCTCTCTTTTTTTTTCTTTTTTTTTCCCACAACTACACTTCATTATCCAGCTTCTTGATGCCTTGGCCACAAGTTGGAGAGAGCTATCAATAGTACATTGTTGACTGGGGGGTGAGGGAGGAGGGAAGGGAATAACAAAGCTGCCAACAGCTTTCTGGGGGTGGGGAACTGCACAGCAAAGTGCTTTGTCATGCCTCTCGACATCCACTACTACTGAATACACACTGGTCCATTGATAGCCCCAGTCATGCCGTGAGGAGGGACTGTATTAACACAAAACGCCACGGAGCATATGCGCGAAGGGGTTTGCCCTGAGACATCTTCCGTCCAACTGCTTAATATCTTTTCTGAAGTGTGTTTAAACAGCCTTTTCTCCGAGCGGTGCCTGCTGTAGGCCATGGCACATGGGAACGCTGCAGAAGAGCCCGGTCTAGCGATGCTGGAGGAGGAGGAAATATGTGGAGGAAGAATATTTGTGTTTCCTGTAGAAGGATTATTTTGGTATGAGATGGCAAGCCAAGTTCTTTGCAAATTCTGCCTGTGTCGTAACTGCATTTGCGAGTTATTTTTTGGCAGACAGAAATGCCAAATTTCAGGAGTTTGTTTGCGGTCTGGTGTACGTTCCAGCGTACTGTATAGGTGGTTCAGGTGATTCTGATGGCGCAGCTCGGTACTTGGTCTTTGGATACTTAAGCCTGTTCCCTCGTGGAGGGGGATTAGAGTAGAAAAACACTGTCTTGGGATCAGCCTAAGTGAGAAGTTTTCGGATGGACAGACAGTAAGTTGTTGATACCTCTGCAGAGGCTGTCCCTTATAGCCTTGTTCCTCGTTCCGTGGGCTTATTGAAAATTCTCAAATTCTGCTTTATTTTGGTGGTGTTTACATAGCTTTGCACTGGCGTGTTTCATAATGGGAACACTGGGGAATGACTGGTTTCTCTGCATTGCTTTTGCAGGCTTTGTTAGACGAATACCACTGCTGTGCCTTTCCTCAGCAAAGAGCTTTTGTGGTACTGATAAAGGGAGCAATGCTCCAGAAGTAAAATAATTTGCTTTCATGAGCTTCCTAAAAGCTAGAGCAGATATTAAAGCCTGCGTTCAAAGTTATCCTGAAAGATCACTTGTAGGACATCCAAACTTTTGGATCCAACTTAGCAACTGCAAGGGGAACTTATCTTCTTGCTTGTAAAAGTAGATCTGTGGGGTGAACTTGTAATTTTTAGGGTTGGGGTAAAGGATGCTTGTGTGATGTTTCATTTGCATGTGAAAATGTCAACTTGGACGTTGTAGAGCGCGTTGAAAATATCTTGAAGAACCAGCCCTTGCACTCCTCCTCGTTTCGAAAATGTGAAACTTAAACCTCCTCCTTCTGGGTCCTGTTGATCTATTTGTAGATATTTGTCTATAGAAAATGTGTGCTCATCTGGTCATGCGTTTCCAGCCATCTGCTATTGGCAGTCCTCCAGGCGTCCCTTATTAGCATGAGGTTGCTCAGCACTCTCTCCGTGTTCTTGGCTGCAAAGCCCCTCCTCCGTTTCTAACAAAACACCGCTGGTTTCTGGTACGACTCGGGCAGTGAGTGTTTTCAATGTAGATGGCCAGGTGCTAAAGTCCCGATAGCCCCCTCTGACGTGCTGTGGAGGAGCAGGGATACACGCGGTTTGGGGTCATGAGGAGCTGTAGCATCCGAAATGTGATCCCTGCTAAAGTAACCTGGTGTTCTCTCTCTTTTTCTTGCAGTAGTATTCTGCCTTTGAGTAACTGTCCCCAGCTGCAGTGCTGCAGGCACATTGTTCCAGGGCCTCTGTGGTGCTCCTGATGCCCCTCACCCACTGTCGAAGATCCCCGGTGGGCGAGGGGGTAGCAGGGATCCTTCTCTTTCAGCTCTGATATATAAGGTGAGAAAGATCTGACATCTAAATAATGACCTGTACCCGTGTTGCAACTGTGTTTGGTTCCTTTCACAGTCTGATGGGAATGAATGGAAATAATAAGTGGGAGAACAGTTAATTTTTCAGCGATCGCTGAGCTGCACGCAGCGCTTCCCTGCTTTAATATCACCTGTTTATTGAGAAATGAGAGACCTTTTCCCAAAGGTGTGCAGCAAATAATTCACTAGCCCTGTTCCCGGAGGTCTCTTTCAGCTATTGTAGGCGGAGCCAGCATTATCAAACTGTGAAACAACTTCTTAAATGCTTTGCAAAAAGAGGAAGCGGGAAGCAGAAAGGTGAAATGCAGAGAGAGAATGGTTGATAAGCTCCTTCCTGTGCCCTAGTCCGGAAGGTAAAGCTGTCAGGGCCTGGGAGCTGCCCGAACCTATGTACAGAGTAACTTCTGACTTCGCAGAAGGGTGAGGTGGCCATCCACCTCGCAGACGGGAACGTTTCTAGAACACGTGCATAGGATGAGGGAAGATCAGGAGGGCTTTGTATCTGCAGACTTGCGTAGGAGCACGTGGATCTGCGCAGCCCTCATTTTTTTGGCCCTTTTCATTCTACAGGACTTTTTCTTTTGGCTTTCAGATGAGGAGACCTGGCTGTTCCTTGGCCGTAGAATAATTGTGAAACTTTGTGTTGGGTTATGGTGGCACACATCTGTCTCCCTTCTAGGCTGGGGGCAGCTTTTCCACAAGCCAGGGAGTAAAGTCCTGTCAGGTGAGGTAGCCTAAATTTATGCAAAGCTCGCAAATTTGGTTGCTCAGACAGGAGCGTTGTCATAGGTGTTAGACTTGATTTTTAATTAGCCCGTGGGAGGCACACAGACTTTATATGATGAAAAGATACAGGCCCTTTTGGGTCACAGCTGCCAAAGTCTCCTCTTGAAATTCCTGAGAGAATCACAGACCTCGTGGCTGCTTTCAGAGGAGATTTCTTCAATGCAGCCTTGGTGAATTTTTAGCGTTTCACTTACCTTGTGAATAAACGTGAACCTCTGTAGCCTCTTAATAATAACGTAACATCAGCTTAATGCTCTTGAGTTGAATGTTAGAGGGGCATGAAATCCAGAGAAGCAGCAGAGAGGTAGCAAAGAGCACAATGGTGTTCCTGCAGGTAAAGAAGGTACATAAATAGCTTCAAGAGAGCTCAGGACAAATAATTCCCTCTGGATGGGAGGGGATGAGAAACAGGGGACCCTGCAACTTAAAACTCCTGTGGACCGGCTTTGCCCAGCCTTGTGTATGCACCTGGTGAGGTCTGAAGGCAGAAAATGGGCCCAACGTGGAACAGACGCTGGTGGAAAGAATCACTGTTTGGAGGCTTTGAAGTGTGTGATTTCGGTATGGCCTCAAATTCGCACAGAAGCTTTTGGCAGCGGTGTGTAGGCAGGGGTTGCTGCCTGTGGGGATGTCATCTAGATAGCTGCATCCCAGAAATACGCATATAATCCTTTCTGGGTTTGTTGCTGACAAAACCTAGCAGAATCGGTCAGAAAATCAGCCCCTTCTGTAACATCGCACAGCAGAGCGGGCCATGTTGCCCAGTGGTTTAAAGTCTGACCTTAGACAGGGATTACTGGGACTCTCTCTGCCCCTCTCAGTTGCCCGCTCAGTCTTGCTGTGCTGTACTTACATCAGGCTGAGCTTTTCAGCCAGCAAGCTTCAGCGTGACCTGGAAAGGCATCTGGACCCAAAAGCTTAAGTACATTTTCCAGCTGTATCAGCTGTTCTAGTTCAAGAGATGACCTTTCTGAACAAGCCTGCCTCCTACGGAGTATGCAGCGCGCGGCTCGTATACAACCATGCTATAAATTAAGCAGCTGGGGCTCCCTATAGCCGTTGGGATTTTTGCGTTAAGAGACTTAACGCTCGGCCCTTCATCAAGGGAGCTTTGCTTGAGCTGGGAATGCAATAGTGGTCGGCGTCGGTGTTGCGCAGCCAGGACGGGCTTTGTGTGAGCGGACGTGCTCTGGCTAGCAAACTTGGCAGGAGGCTGCAGGTGTAGCACATGCCAACAGTAGGCTGCTTACACGGGTTTCTCGAGTCGCTTGGCTGTGGCCAAGATCATAACATCCTTTCTTCTTATGCTGCCAACAGCCTAGGGGCCTCATCCCACCACCACCACCTCCATCCTTCTCAGGACATCTGAGGAGCGTGGCTGGGTTGGAAAATCTTGCGCTCAGTGAATTGTAACCAAGTGGAAGCTGGTCCTTGCGGCTTTGCTTCACTGAAATGGAGCCCCAGGCTGGAGAGCCGGTGGTTTAGGCAGCTGGGTATAAAAGATAGCCTGGTGGGGTGTGTTTTTTTTTTTTTCTCCCTCCCTGCAATAGCATGGTGGGGGGATTTTGCAGGGGTGAACTAAAACCGAACGTTTGTTGCGTAAACAGGATTTTGCTTTGAGCAGCTTCCAAAGAATTCTGGGCTGCTGCTTCACAGGAACAGCTTCTCTCCCCAGCATCTTGCTGTCTCTATTTTGATGCCTAGAAATAAAATATCAGCTGCCCAAGACAAGCTGTGTAAACGTAATTCCCTCTGAACCGGGGGAACTGGTTCTCTTAATCCCTGTGGTTATGCTGCCTTTGGTTCATGGGCTGTCGCATTAGGGGGCTTTTTAAGTGGAAAAACCTCGCTAGGTTTGGAGTGCAGGGCATAACTTCTGGTGACAGAAGGGCTAAGCCAGAAGGCTCGGAAAGCTTTCCCCCTCCCGTTGCAGGCTCCTGCCAGTCTTCCCGCACAAATGCATGCGTGTGCCTCCCCCTCCAACGTGTCAATCCCAGCCTGCTTTTCTCAACTTCCTCACCCTGTTTTTGTTTTCACAAAGTGTAAGAAAAGAAGCGTCTGTGAGCTTTTCCTGAGAGAAGGATCTTTTCTGAAACAGAGACGCTTTCTGCACAGTAACAATGACTGTAAAAGGCTCCTCTAGAGTCACCGGTGAAGGATGTGCGTATAATCCCCTCGGGTTTTTTTAAATACACCTCTGTAGTGCAGAGCTCTCACGGGGTTCAAAGCCGACTCTTGCGGCTGGCTCGGCAGTGGCTGTATCAGCAGCAGTTCTGACTTAACCTGAGCGGCCGTCAGTAGGTTTCTCAGTGCACTTTGGCTTAAAACTGTAGTAAAACCCAACAGCAGGCGCAACCACAAAAACTTCTTTCAAACTCGATGAATTAACTTATTTCCTACAGGATATTTATTCTGATGAAGTGTAAACTTGTTTTTCAGCTAAGCTTTGTGGGCTTTAAACAAACGGCAGCTTCCTCTGCTCCGGTTACCAAAGCCAGGCAGTTCCTGATTTGCATGCGGCATTACTTTGTCGCCAGCATTAACATACTTGATGGCTTCTTCCTTCTCACAATAGTCAAACCAAGAGGGATCTGTTTTAATACATGTGGTAACAGGAATTAAAGTGGTGGGACACAGGCTTGAGGAGATGTTCAGGTTCTCAGAGGTGTTTTTGCTGAACTGTTCGTCTTTCAGCAATGCTTTTACCTTCATAGCTTAAAATGCCTAGAAGAAAACACCTGCTTGAAAAGCAGCGATGCTGAGGAGTCTTCCACCCTCCTACTGGGCACCGTTGGCTGCCAGTGTGTTTGTACTGCCCATCTTGTAAATGCTTCTTCACTGCAGAGCCAATCTGGACCGTTTTCTTTGCTGTCCTGGCTGCCTGTGTGTGTTAGGGTCAGAGGTGAATATATGTCACTACAAAGCATTTATTAAACCTTGTCTGGGGAGGTGCTGTCTCTGCAGCCATGTCACTTGCCTCAGCATCCATCCAGCCGATCGTCAGCAGATCAGAGTTCATCATGAGCTGCTGAATTAATCACCCTGATAAAATAAAATGCCTGGAGGCTGGACGGTCCCTCACCTAATGACCCGATGGATTGAACCACCTCCAGCCCCACCTGTTGATGCTGTTGAGGAGAGAGGGGCAGGGGGCTTTCCCAGGCATTCCCATGACTCAGAAACAGAGCGGACTTGTCTTCTATTATCTGGTTTACTTCTGCCCTTCAGAGCTGTGCAGGTGACTGTAAATGTGAGAGGGTCCACATGCATGAGCCCATAACCAAGCAGATGGGAACAGTTCAGCTTCCACTGCAGTTGACAACGTTAACTCAGGAACCTAATTCATTTCTTCGTCCTTTCATTGGGGCTCTTTTGCAGTGAAATGTGGAAATCATTACTGGGCAAGCCAACTGCCTGCAAAAACTGTCAGGAGGAGGGATGGAGTTTAACCACGAAATTGTTTTCTAGGAACTGGTGAGCTGAGTCTGAGGCGGTCTGCATGCTCGGCCTTCTAGTTTGAGCAGTGTTGGAGAGGGACGTGTACGTTTGCGGTCTCTGGAAAAGACCTCATCACAGTCTTCAAATCCATGTAGCTTCTCTGTGTTTTGGGATTCTCTCTGCACTATGTATTTTCCTCCGGTATACCAGGAGGCAAAACGTTTGCTGTACTAGTTGGCTGTAAAATCTGGGAAAGCAATTTGTGGTCATCCCTCACACAAAAAGACTGTGTTGGGGATTGGGGAGACAATGAAGTTGGTCAGACTGCGGCAGCAGATGTTCTTCCAGCTTGTCGGTTCAAGTTCTGTTCTTTTGAAGGGTAGTTCATGAACCGCCCTTCAAAGATGTGGCTGGGACCTGCGGTGAATGAATGGACTCTCGCTATCCAGAAATTTAATATAATGTAAATATGCAAAACTGCATTCCCTTGAACAGGAAAACGTGACTAGAAAATCACTCCGAGGTCTGAGTACTCATTGTGGTGTGTCCTTGAGTGAAAGGGGAAGAGAAAAGTATAACATTCTTCTTAGTAAAACTGTAATACCATTTATTTTGCATTTGCATCTCTATAGTTCTACATAATAATCAGCCAGGGGAGTATGACTTCAATTTTGTTCTCTACTTTTAAGTTAGAATAAAAGCAAGGTATTACAGGTAGTTCAGAACAGTAGCTTTTAACCACTTGCACACGTGTTTAGAGCTGAGACTCAGGCATGAGCTTGCAGGTGACTGTGTATACCTTCACAGGCTCTAGTGAGCCTCACAGTGGTGAATTTTAAAGACAGGATGAAACTCCGGACACGCACAGGTCTGTAAGGACTGGTTCTTTTTCAGGAGGGTGCTCCCATTGGAAACACAGTCCCTCTGCGCACTCATTTTAGCGCCATCTCTTACATTTTTGGTCTGTGATCTCAAGGATAGTTTTCTTTAACTAAAGCCGATTTGGTGTGCTCTCCTCCCTCCCCTGCACAGGACGAGAAGATCACTGTTAACCAAGATGTCCCAGTGCACGAAGGGAAGCCTCATATTGTCCATTTCCAGTACAAGGTCACAGAGGTGAAGACCTCCTCCTGGGATGCGGTGCTCTCTAATCAGAGCCTCTTTGTGGAAATCCCTGACGGATTATTAGCTGATGGAAGCAAAGAAGGGTAAGTTCAGGATCCCAGAGCTGTGTCCGTGGCTCCGCAGGGAGCAGGGCTTTGCTTCTATGGGTGATGCTCTGCCTGTGGGGAGAACAGGCTGTGCGTACCGCAGCTCTGTTCCTGGTTTGTGTATCTGAAGTATGTCCTTAACTGCCTGGTCTTCAGAGAACTGTCTTGTTAGTCCTTCATGTATTTTCTTCCCCCTCGGTGATCATTTCAGATGGGTTACTGTTTTTTGAGTCCCTATGCTAACAAAAAATAGGCAAGAAATGAGCGGAATGATTCTTTGTGTACTTTGGTATGGAAAATCTACAAGCCTTTCTCTGATTTTTTTTTTTTTATTTTTTTTTTTTTTTTTTTCTCCCAGCCACTTGGCAAGCTTATTTTGGCAGGCGTTTTCCTCTCTTTCGGGGGGGCGGTGTGTGTGTGTGGAAAAAACCTGCATTATATTGATGCGCTCCTTCTCATCAGTAGGTGGATCTGCTCTTGGAGTGCTGCCACGCAGGCGCTGGGCACTGCCAGAGTTTCTGATTTTTCTCTGTTGGCAGAATACGGTAGTGTTTTGTCCAGACAGCTCTGCTCTGGGAAGTTTGTGTAAACGCAGCTTCCAGAGCAGCTACTTCCTGCCAAGTGCTTTGCCAGAGATCTCCGCTGTCGGGGAGCGCTGTAGCAGAGATGTGGATGTACACTGGATTCCTCTGTACAGCTCTCCAAAGTCCTCCTAAATCTCCAAGTAGGCTTCATCGGTAAATGACATGAGTTAATTAAGGAAAAAAAAAAACAAACCACCTCATTTGGGCACCTTCAGTAAGTGCCAGTATTCTTGCTGTCTCACACTTGGCTCATTTGACTCTGAGTCCAGATAAATGTTTGCGTAATTTCTTCAGTCGGCTCATAAATCCTTCAGCCGTCCAAGCGGGAGCTGCTTCTTCTGGGAGGAGGGTATTTACCCGCCTGTGTCATCGTGACTTAAAGTGCGATTTTGCAAGATTATTTTTAGCTAGGTAAAACAGCCTAGTAGAGGCTATAATTAAAATAGTTCATTACCATATTAACAAAACACTTGCAAATTTAATCTCCCTCGCTGCACTCCAGTCTCACTGACTGCTGTTTAATTAGATGTCGATTGAAGCTCTGTTTGTCACTGCTCTAGCAGCCTGCGTGGTAAATGGTTACGAGGCCAGCAGTGACAGTGATGGCTGCACCGTGCCGATCCCTGGGGGCGCAGAGAGGGGTTAATGCAGCGCTGCTTCCGTCAAGAGGTGGCAGAAATAATTTAGCTGGAAAGGCAGGAAGCCTGGAATCAGGGTGCATCAGCTGTGCCATCCAGCTGATGTGTTCGGGAAACAGCTTTGCCTGTGCACATGCTCCTTCAGTGATGTTTTTCTCTTCTCTTCTGCCTGGCACGAGCTTTTTTTTTTATTATTTTTTTTTTCTCTTCCCATAAAGCACAAAACTTGCAGATCCCCTCGTGTATGTTGCCAGCGGAGGGGGTGCAGCCTGGCTCGGGATCAGCTGCAGTATTCAGCTTCACACTTAACGAAGGCTTCCGTAGAAAACCACGGGCTGGTTGGGAACGGGTGTTTGTGCGCGGTGGCACGCAGACGCCGGAGGACAGGGACTCGTTGGGTGACTCGTTGGGTGTGAGGACAGCTCTTAGTTCTGCAGGGCTGGATAGCGAAGCAGGAAGCCCATTGTTTCAGCACCCATTGTTCGCTGGAAGGGGTCTGTAAACAAGTAATCTTTCTGCCTGAAAACATCAAAACAGTTGATAATGCTCAGAGGCTTCCTCAGGACAGGACTTCCTATAGCTGATGTTCTTTTGTCTTCTTCCTCCTTGGCAGGTTATCAGCACTGTTGGAGTTTGCTGAAGAAAAAATGAAAGTCAACTATGTCTTTATTTGCTTCAGAAAAAGCAGAGAAGATAGAGGTGAGAACTTGCTCCTGCTGTCGGGTTTGCTCCCTACATCTAAAACGGTGCTGCTGCAGCCGTCCAAAAATCCGGTAACCCCAAGGCAGGGCTCCCCGGGACGCTTCCTACCGCAGTAAATGTTACATGCGTAATTTTCATGTTGTTCTTACAAAGCAGAAATAGTTTCTCATGGAGGAAATAAGCCCTTTCTTGAGAGGGAATATTCTGGTTTCTCCAGCAGGTGTGCTTTACTGTCCTGCAGTGAAATTATTACTAGTACTCTCACACAGAAAGCTGCTCCTGAGTAACTTGGAGTATTTTCTTGTCCAGAAATTGGTTAATAATTTCTCCTTTGGTAAGGAGCGGAGGTCTCCATTTGGCACCAGGCTTCTGCGATTTGGAAGGAGAAACCAGGGAGAGGTTATTACATGGGAAGCGAACTCTTGTAGCTCGTTGCCCCGATGTTCACCTGCTTTATAAAGATCTCCCGGCACTTTTGCCCTTCCTAGACCTACAGGTAATCCTGACCCTGGCTATAGATGCTTATGGCTTAAGGGGGCTGCATTAGGACCTAAAGATAGATGTGTTGGATGAGTGATTACAGCACGGAAGTTTGAGAAGATTTGCGATGAAGTACCAAGCTATGGATGTGTCACTTTAAATCTTCCTAGACGCAAGCTAGTAACCAAGCGATTGCCATGGCAGGAGTAATTCAAACCTTAATTCTAATTTTACTCTGCTGCTTCATGAGCTACGCTGTCTTCTCTGAAACGGAGCACGTTATCAGAGCTAAGCTGTCCTGAGCCCGGGAAGATGTCATTCCGTGTTATGATGCCAGGAAGAATTTTCGCATTAAGTTCATGCTATAATGCCGCCGCCGTCGCCACCACAGGTTGCGTAGGTGACCTCCGCGCTGGCTGGTTACAGGAGACATCTGGTACCAGGTTTTGGTTTTAAAAACGGGCTGCGTGTCGCTCTTGGACGTGGCTTAATTTGTATGAGTTCTGGAGCGCTCCAGATCCCGGGTCTTTGTCTATGCAGTTGAAATCCAGTGCTGTCTCGAAAACATATCAGAGCTTCTCTGCATGACCGTTCGGTGGCTGGAAGTTGATCGTGAGAAGGTGCTGCAGAGATTAGATGCTGCACCAGGGTAACTTTCACAGGTCACAGGGTTTAGTAACAAGCGAGCGTGCAGCCAGTCACTGCGTAATATAACCTTGTCTGACTGAGACAGGGGGGGGGTGTGGCTTCTGGGCTGACCCCGCTCTGAATTCATGTGTGTCACCCACGGTGGCTTTCCTGGGGGACCGCACTGAGCTGTGCCGAGCTGGCTTGAGTTTCCACTGAGCTCCAGGCCCTCTCCACAGAGACAGCAATTTTCTACTGAGACCCTGAGTAAGCAGGTTCCTGTCTGCTGCTGTCTGACCCACTTTCGGGGCTCGAAGGGTGCTGGGACCCACGTAAACGCAGAAAAAAACTTCGACGTGCCACGGGATGGCCACGTGCATCCTGGGCCAGTGGCTGGTGCAGGTCGATAACCAACCACCGCTGTTTGTCAGAGGGAACAGAACAGACATTGCAGGAAAAACACAGACGAACCTGCTCTGCTGCACAACCAATATCCCCATCGTGCTTAGGAGCAGCTGTGGTGAATGCAGGAGGAGACGAGACCTCCCGTTTGAGAGGGCCGTCACGTTAAAATGGTTTCTTTCTGTGCAGGGAGCTCTGGATGCGCTCGCAGAGGGCTTTCAGTGTGCTCTGATATTTGCGGCTTCTAGGGTGATGGAGGTATGGAGGATAATTCCCGCTGGTAACAGATTTCCTTCTCTTTGGTAGCTCCACTCCTGAAGACATTCAGCTTCTTGGGCTTTGAAATTGTGAGGCCTGGTCACCCCTCTGTCCCATCACGGCCAGACGTGATGTTCATGGTGTACCCCCTGGATCAGAACTCTTCCTCCGATGAAGAATAGCTGCAGCGGGAGACTCCAGTGTGACCTGAAAATGCTGTTGAGGGGAGAGAGGGTTACTTCTCCTTTCTTGAGGAAAGGGAAAACAAGCTTCTGTTGGACTGAAACTGCATTTCTCATTGTTAGATTGGCCTGTGTATCCTCAGAGTTGACTATCTCATTGAAATGTGTTGCCTAGAGAACTATATATACACACATGTAATCACCAAATAGTAAATGGAAGATGTTTATGAACTGGCATAGGAGCTCTTTACGTGCAGCTGTGTGGTGTGTTAGCCTAGGGGCGCCCGGTGCCCAGGCCGTGCGTGGGGGAGCACAGCGGTAGATGCAGTATCAACTCCTTGACTTCTCTTAAACCCACATTGGTCCTTTCCCCATCACCCGATGTGCGCTCATCTGCCAGACTACCTTTTGATTTTTCACTCAGACTCTTAAGTAGAAGGCAGGTTTGGGGTGTTTAGGCATGTGGAGGAGACGTGCTCCAGTTTAACCTTTAACACTACATTAAACCCCCTGTGCGTCTCTGCTTTGGGGCGACCGATGCTATTTTAACTGGTCTAACCTTTTTTTATTTTTTGGTTTTGTTTTGTTTTTTTTTTTTAACTTCTTGCTCTTCCAGCTTTTGTTTTAAGCAGTCTTAACTCTGTTCAATGTTACCACTGCACTATCACAGCATTCAATAAAAGGGGCATTCAGATGAACTTCACCCAGCTGGGGCTGCTTCTTTGAAAGGAACAGAGCCTGTGGTGGGCCTCCCATAGTGCTGCGATGGTTTCAGAGGGTCAAGCGAGTGTTTGGAGCAATACCTCCGCCCTGGGGGGGGAACGTTTCCTTACCTGCCTGCGGTGTGATGGTCCAAAGAGCCAAAAAAAAAGGCTCACACCTTCAGCCCGAGGATGGGTAAGGAGCAGGCCTGTGGCTGTCACCGCTGTTCTTCCTCCTCACCTTTCCAAAGAGAGGATCTCAAGACTTGAGACACCGAGCTAACGGCTGTATCCAAACCAAAGGGGGTTGCGTTGTGGAGGGGGCAGGCACAGACGGTGGCTCTGCTGGGTGTGGTGGGATGTTCATGCCAACCGGGGGCTTTCCCGGGATGGAGGGAAGTGGCCACGGCGCCGGCAGCAGCTCGTGTTTCAACCCTGCCCCTTCTGATGCTGGAGAACGAGGTTGTGCTCTTGTCTTTGTGCCACGTGGATGTAACCTGGCTGGTTTTCTTTGAAGGCCACGCAAGAAGGGTGTATTTATAAGCTGCGCCCTGGAGGCGTGCCGTGAGCTCTCTTCCTGGCCTGGCTGCTTGCCTGTGGACTTGTCCTTGTGTGCTTTGTTGTGCTCTCGCCCTTCGGTGGAGGATTTTGTTAAAAGCTGAAGCCGAGCCATTCCATAAACGTCACGGTCAGTGTTTTCTGGTTTTGGGGGAGAGAGGTGGGACTGGGATACAAGTTTGTGTGAATAAATCATCTTAAAGTTTGTGTCTCTTTTTCCCTCCTTCCCCTCCAATGAAATGAAAGTGGCGCTACGCCTTCTTCAGTGGGGCATTAAATCCTAAGTCTGTTTTAAAATCGGAGACTGTGCGGTGCAGAACATCTCTGCCCAAGCTTTTATTGCAACAGGCATGGGCCCTCCTGTCCTTGCTCTGGGAGCAGTGCGGAGCCAGAGGAGACCTTACGCCTATAAAGCCGATTTCTGGTTCTGGCTTTCTGAAAAGCCAAGTTGTATCCCTCCTTGTAGCCCTTCCTTCCCTGGGCTGGCACGTGTTTCTGCGTGCTCCAGGGCCCTGCTGCCACCCCATGGTGCTCCTCTACTAGCGCATCTCTGATATGATGGGGTGAGAACTGCTTTGCTCCTTCCTTACTGGATAAAATTTACTAGTAAGGTGTAAGGTCCTTGTCATGGGAGCTTGGAGCTCCTTAATAAGCTGCAGTTACGAGGCTGTGCCACTGCTTGTGCTTCTCTGATAACTACTGAATACTCTTCTGCCTTGGATCAAGCAAGTGTGGTCAAACGCAGAGGTCTCTGCTCACCCAGTGTCTTCAGAACTACCCTCTTGAAAACCAAAAAGGTGCCTCCTGTGCGGGTCGCCTCCATTGCAAGGCTGCAGGAGCCACGCTCTGCCCTGTGGCCCACCAGTCCCCAGCTGCCTCCCGCGAAGGGGGCTCCCTGGAGTGAGGAGGGAGACGCGCTTGCCTGGTGTGGGGCAGGACCCCGGCAGGCTGTGGGGCAGCTGCCTGCTGGTGGTGCCTAGGGGTGTGAGCCTGGGGCGGGGGGTTCTGACCCGAATTGTCACAGCTGAGCTCGGCTGCAGCATCCCCAGCTGGAGCTGTGTGTGCTGGTGGCAGAGCAGAGGGGCCGCATGCAGCTGCGCAGGGCCTGGGAGCAAGCAGAGGGGCGCTGGGTGGGGGACCCACTGGGCCACAGCCTTTGTGGCCACAGACAGCTGAGCTTGGCACCAGGAGCAGCATGTCTGCTTAAGCCCTCTCAGATGCCCCAGAGATAAGGACACCCCCTCCCCAACCCCCCCTTTCCCCCCCAAAATCACTGGCCACCGCTTTTTGGG